ATAAATTAGTAATCTCTGGAAACTTTATATACAATTTAATCATGTATGTTGTACCCCTACCTAACAGAAAAGGATGTTTGATTAACATCGGTTTTACCAAAGCAAGAAACGATGGCGTAACGGTGTTTCAAATTAATTATGTAATTTTATCGACATCAAAATCTAAACTTTTAAAACAAGTAGATGAAGATCAAGCTTCTCCAGTTGCATGGTTTTATCCGCAGTGACAAATTACAAGAGGGAAAAAATCGCGGTGTATCAAACTTTAAATCTCTTTCTACGTTTTTTCGCTCCGTTAGTTATTTAGCACAAGTACAAATGGGGCAAGCATTCAAACATTAGCAACAAGCATGGTAGAATATTTACCAGCACAACCGAGGAACTGAACTCGTGTCTGCCGTGAAACAACTCGAGAGAGTAGTCAGACGGCAGGAGTTAAACCCACGTCCTTTAGATTTCAAGTCCTAATTAATCACTCGGCCATCCTACCCATTACACTGTGCGTGAAGGAAAAAGTTAGAAACCTTGAGTATATACAACGCGACGCGCTGATCTTCTCAAAGTCCGCTACCGAGACGTTCTGCAAAACTTTTTGCTTTAAAAATAAATGAGATTTGGAGATATTTTTAATCTTCGGGGTATTTAGAAAAAGAGAAAGAAAAATAAATCTACGAATATTTTAAAGTTTTGTTCATAGTCCAGCGGCACAGCTCTCGAATTGTGCGATTTTTGAAACAATCATCAAACTTTGTAGGATAATGTGCATCCCCATACTGATCAATTCCTGATATAGTGCCAAGCTCAATTTTCTAATTCCAGCTAGTTAGCAATAATTAGAGTTTTCACTCATTAGACCCCCCGCGAAGTTTTTGTTCATGTTCCTTTTGGAGAATCAATTCACGTTTTTACCTTACCTTTTTTACGTTGTTAATGCACGTATGATTAGAATTGTTATTTTTTCTCCCTTTTTTTTTATTCAGGTAGAGGTAATTTTCCCGCTAAAAATATTAAATGAAGGAAAGCCTTAATTTGCATAAATCTGCATTTTCTCCTGCTGCCCTTTGCCTACATTTCTGCAACACTTTCTCTTGGTTCGGATGGTAGGAGCAGCATCTCATTCTAATTTGTTTCTATGCAATTGGATGCAAATACGTAACGCTCTAGGCATGCTGATAGCCAAGAGCAACAGTACTATCCTTGTCATATATCAGATCTGGTAGGAGTGGCAGATGCAGTTGTGAACGGTTGAAATAATGGGCACGATATGTTCTGCTAACCTGAAAACGGGCGTTTTTACTGCAGAGGCAGTGGATAAAATCGACTACAGCATGACGTCGACAACCGCTATAAGTTTTCACGGCACCCGCGGTATCGCACTGATTCAACACCCTAATGAAGCGTGCCACGGATTCATGTGTGAACAAGCAACCATTCCAACCCGGCCCTGTGCTTTCCGGCGGATCGTGACTACACATCTTCCGTAGAGAGGGCTAGATTAAGTCACGATGGATTACCCCACCAGCAGCAGCTACTAGCTGTAAAGTACTGGGCCATTGTCGTTGTTAAAGAGATGGGGCAAAAGATGTAAATGTGTTACTACCCTACTTTGTGTGTGTGTATGATGGCCAGTGCATTAGCGATTTAACATGGAGGATAATACGCGCGTAGATATGGAATATATATCTTCCAGTGTTCAACTCGATATCTCACGAGTGAGCGCAGCCAAAGGGGTGAGATATAAAGTTGAACATGAGAAGAGATATTCCATATCTACAAGCAACTATATATTATTCTGTTTATTATATAGACATAGACATACTGATAACGACGTTCTTGACGATTTTCCGAAGGTTTCTGACCACTTTCCTAGGATTTCCGAAGATTCTCCAAAAATTATTCGAGGGCCACAAGAACGTTTCCGAACAATTTCCTAAAATGTCCGAAGATTACCGAAGATTTCCGAAGATAACTGAAGATAGCCGAAAACTTTCGAGGAAGATCCGAAGATGTTTTGATCATACACCAAAACATTTAAGTACAGTTTCAAACATGATATTAGTGAAGTAATTGATAACTTCACTAGTGATGATATGGAAATACGCCACCCGAGTCCCGGATGTGGTGTCCTATGAATTTTATGAGTGGTGTATTTTCCAGTAAAACACTCGTGTGTATGTAATAAATAGGTTTATTGTGATAAGGAAAATTAAGAACACCTAAAAAATCTCTAGGTTTCATTGCAGATAATATTCTAATCAACCAGAGGCCCATCGACAAGACCCAGAGCTTTCTTTTATTATATTTTCAACAAACGTGGGATTTTAGTTTTTCGTTTCCCTGGCAACACGTAATTAATGGCAGTGTGCCATATGCCAAAACGGAACAAACTTGGTAAACAAGTTGGAACCATTGAAATGAAGGTATTTGCTGATAAACCAGGGTGAACAGAGGAATTTCATAAGTTTTAATAAATTGAGGTTTCCATGGAAACCAATGGACGTCCAACTTGGCACTATACCTGAAAATGTTCGTATTGGTGATTGCTCGGCCTTTCCACAAATATCACGTAATATCGCCCAAATACCTGTCCAGAAATTCTGAAAAAATCTCCTATATATCACATACAAATTTCTAAATATCTCGAAAAACCTTCTAAACATCTCTTTTTCTGGTAAGATAGACCGATCTTGAATCCCTCAGGCCGAGATTTTCAAATTTTCTTGCAGTAGTAGGAGTTGGCGAAGAACATTCAGGCACTTCGATGTTACCAGCATCCGCCATTTTGGAAAATAGCTGCCTTAGCTGCCTTTTAGTGATATGGATCTTTCGAGTGGGAATTCGCTGAACTGAATTGTTTCTGGCATAAAACACAGGACTAAGCCAACAAGAAAGCTTTGAATGTTTCTTAATATTCTTGAATTTTCTAAATATTTTAATACTTTCTAATTATCTCGGGAACTTCTAAATATCTCAAAAATATCGGGTTATTTGTGGAAAGGCCTAGTGCTGCTATCAATGTGCCAGATTTCATGCTTGTGTCAAAAGTGCACAATTTGCCTGAAATTTCGAGTTATGTCGCCGGACATGCATCATGCTTCACGTGTTCTTTGTTGTTTGGAGCTGTCTTGCTGAATTCAACACCAATAGTCTGATTAGGCTGTTCCCCCTGAGTAATGTTTCCCCTGAGTATTCCTTATTCTATATTTAGGCTTCAAAGATAGCCATGCGACATTTCAATGTCTTCCGGCTTGTGTTATGAATAGAAACAGTTTATTTTGGGGAGTGTTTCCATTACAGTAATTTGCATTCACTCCACTGATTCATGAGATATTTGACGTGCGTCAAAGGTGAAGTCAAAGTTGAGATCACATTTGCCCTCTCTTTTGTTAAGGATCAAATGTATCGGCAAAGCCGTGACATTTTTGGTGCACATTTGATGCCGGCATTAAAGTTTGGATCAAACCTATGATAATAATAATAATAATAATAATAATAATAATAATAATAATAATAATAATAATAATAATAATAATTTTTTTTTTAATAACAAACTTTATTGAGCACTTTTCCATACAAACTTGAATCTTACATGTATCTGGTAAAAAAAAAAAATTCAGAAAATAATAAATTAAAAATTACAACTATAAAAATTCTTAGGACAATATATATGTCAGGGAAATACTAACTTACAAACGAATTACAAATTACACTCATTCTTTACAACCCTTATAAATTTAATAATNCACAGGGCTTAGCCAAAAAAAGCTGTGAATATTGCTAAATATCCCTAAATTTTCTGAATATCTTAATATTTTCTAAATATCTCGGAAAATTCTAAATATCCCAAGAAATATCCGGAAAGGCCTACGTCGGTATATGTTCTCTTTCTTTTTTTCCAATAAACCATAAGCTATACCTGAGTTCATTTAGTCGCGTGTTTGTAACTTTGTCAGATTTGGTAAAATGTGCAAATGTTCCGCGTCCCTCTCGTTAATGCAGCACAAAAAGACATTCATTAAAACGGAGTTTTTCTCTTTATATTGCTGGCTTGAAAACGAAGATAAGACTGAAAAAGACAGGTCGTAAGTCGATGTTTAGTAAATTGAGTTCATCGCCAATAAATTATTGTTTTACAAATGTATTGCATTTTTTTAGTGCGCCGTCAAGCATTAGAAGTCTCTCGGAAACAGCGTTCCGTTTGCGCGAATGCAGACTTACAAAAACACCCAGAAGAGGCTACGCCCTCGAGAAGAAGATGATTGGTTAAAATTTTGTGACAGTGTTCAAATCTTAAATTTTCATTGGTTCGCTATAAATAACAGCTAGTAATAAATACACATATAAATTCAGCTGTTGTCAAACCAAGTCAGTATCTACAGGAACAAAAATTCTGCCGTCACAAAAGAGATTGCGCCTTTCAACTCCGTTACGATGAAATCTGTTTTCGTCCTCGCCTTTCTTCTTTGCATTTCCGTCGGTAAGTTCTATAAAGATCATAGTATTGCCGAACGTTTTATTTGTCTGATTCATTTATTTCATGTTTGAAGCTCGATTTTGGCCATAACACAACTACAGCAGGCTCTGTTTCGCAAGCGGTAGTGTACTCTGAAGAATCGATTATAATTTCAGTATTATTTACTTGATCTTGTTCATTTACCCAAACGTTAGCTGGGAAGTGTGTAGTGACAATTTAGGAGAAGTGAGAGGAGAGACTTTGTTGCTGTACTTTTGACTTTTGAACGCTTTTGAGCTCAAAACTATCGTAGGGATTATTACAATTCAGCACTCGAATGCCAACAGCCAGCGCCCATTTGTCTGATGTATCACTTATCTGTTGCTCAGAAAACCAACAAACAGGGTATATTTTGGACACCTTTTTGATTCACTTCATTTATTTTGGTGGATCAAAAGCAGATTGGAAGTTTGTTAACATTTGAGCTTGTTTCTGTGAAAGCATTTGCTCTTTCATGCAGGTATGCCTCCTAACGAGGAAAATCGCACAACGAGGGAGGCCTTCGGCACGTTAAGCCGTTAAGAAATGTAGTCCGTTTTCTCTTTATAATTACACGAGGGATAAGTAATCTGACAGAATTAAAGAAATTTCAGTTATTACCTTGCAGGGGAACGAGAGAAGAATCCACTGATCAATGTCAACGAGGCAGCGCCCTAATTATGAACATTAAATGTACAATTGCCCAGCTGCATCAGCTTAGTTTCTTTTCATGACTGAAAAAATCCGGTTTTGACTTAGAAGTTTCTCATCATTAGCGACTATTGTGTGGTTATTGCTTCTAATATTGATTAAAAACAAAATTCTAGTGGTTTCAAGTCGAGTTACGAAGGGTTGCACAAAAAGAACAACCATTCTCTCGCCGCCATACATACATACGCCGCCATGCAGTCTGAATCAACGAGCAGCGCCAATTCTCCTGATCTTAAAAAGGTGGACTTTTGAATCAAGTAAATTTCCTCAGAAACACCTGGAAGCAATTCGTTCTGCTCTGTTCATTCCTTCTGTTAATTATCGGTTTGTTTTGTGTTTATTTCATCAGATCAGTTCAGTCCGTTTTTCTATTGTGAAAATGAATCTAGACTAGTCTCATCTGGTGACATAACACCAACAAACTATAAGTTAACAGCTCACATTTGTCAGGTTCTTTTCAGAATAAAACTTCCACTGCAGTTTGCTTGTTGTTTCTTTTCAGAGTGGTTCTTTTAAGTGATGATCGAAACTATATCGTTCAGGTTAGAATTAGGAGAGGTAGAGCGACACAAAACTGGCCAGAGGAAACCCTTCTTTGAGAAGGCGGTTTTCGGAATATCGCAGCTCGCTGGTTAATTGTGTGGGCGAAGCTCACACCTATAAATTGGTACTTGAGAAGTTTGTCTGTCTACGAGAGTCACGTGATCGAAAAAAATTGTACTAAGTTGACTGGGCACTAGTTTAGAGTCTACAGATGAGAAGATTGGGTGCCAGCTCCTTCGTGTTGTGTACTGTTTGTCGGTTTCCCAAGGGTAGGTTTTGTATCTTTTATAGCTTGTTTTGAGATGCGGTACTATACCTGTTGTACTATACCTGTTTGCACGTATATCGAAAATCTGTCTTCGTATCCTTCGTAATTTCGTATTCATCGAAAATACCGCTTTCCAATTTCGTGTAGTCTTTGAAAATGTTGATTGCAGTTGCATTGTCTATTGAAAGCTTTCTTTAATTATTCCTTCAGGTGTCCATAACGGGAGTTATTTCGCTCGCACAAGCCAACATATCAAAGCTAATCAAGACTCGGCTTGTGTTTAGTGCAGGTTGCACAGGGGCTTGTTCGCTTTCGAACGCTAAATTTATCGGCCTGAATGTTCGGCACGGGTTGCCCCCCCATACAACGAAATCAGTCATTGTACTTTCGCAAGCCAATATCTCGCAAGCCAACATTTATATCGGCTTGAACTGATTGATGTGGGCAGCACTACAAAGTGAGACAATATTGTCAGGGATCATCAGAGATTGTCAGAATTTAAATTTCAGAAAGTGAAATAAACTGCCTTGCACTCGCATTGTACTTGCATTGTTAGAAATACACATGAACAGTGTTTAGAGTCACCCTTTTGTTGCTTTTTCAAGATCAAAAGTTAGTACGGGAATCTCGGTTGAACCGGTCAAGGATCCGCTTTCATAACCATTTCGTGAATGCAAAACACATCTTATCGTAAGGATCAGTTGTCGAATATGATGCCAACAATGTTTTATTTACACGCGTGTTATTT